TTTTATTTATTTGGGAAATTCTATGAAAAAAGATTAACAAACTGGTTAAACATTTAAATTTTGTTTTGAAATTACAGGGAGATTGGATGCACTGTAAGGAAAATTTGTTCACTTGATTTTTTTTCATCTCCCTGTAAAAATGGAGCCAAACTCCCCAAACACATACTACTGTGCCTTCTTCCAGTATATTAAACATTCGTCGATAGTTAGCAAGACACTCGAGTTTAAATTTAAATGTACATTTCGCATATTATAGTATAAAACACTTAAACAGTTTCGTTTTGAAGGCAATTTACTACCTGTAATTTGGTTATTCATGGTACCAACCAGAACAATTTTATTTCGTGACATTTTAAACATTAACACTATGCTCGTGACTTGTGAGACAGTCGAACCGTAATGGCGTAATGATTAAATACGTAACGCATGCAACGTATGTGTGAACGTCCGTCTACAGATAATAAGTATACTATTATCTGAAAATAAATTCGTATTTACGATAATAATTGACATATAAATAATATAAACGGTTGTAGATTATTTCTTATTGAAATACCGGCCAGTGAGTAGCAATCTATTTATAATCAATGATAATAAATGTCTGTATGACGGCTGAAAAAGTTTGAAGTGAGCTCTTAGCTTATTATTACATACATCGATTTTTTTTTGTTTTTTAATATTTTCCTTGAAAAATAATGAATTTACGAAAAATGTTGTCTTATTGTTTTTTATAGACATTATTAAGTTCTTTAAATAAGGTTCTATACATTTTTATGCTAAGTGCAATATTTTTCTTAATAAATGTGTAAAACAATTAAACTACCCTCTTTTGCCATTTTTCAACCCTAAATCGGCACCAGAAAGGGTTGAGTAACACCTTCCAAATTTTACCCAAATTACTTTCTCATGTGACTTAACAAATCCAGTATGTACGGAATAAATTATATTTAATAAAATATATCACCTATATATATATAAGGACCACCCTAAATTATATATATATAAACCGTAATTTTTTTTAAATCATTTTAATTATAATATATTATGTATATTTTATTTGTGGGTAATAATTATGTCAATTTTTTTTTTGGTTATTATACTAACTACTAAGTACATAATTATAATCATTGAATATAAATATTGTCATGTATATAATATAATATTCCGGACTTTTACCGCGATTCATTGCAGCTATACCTAAAAAAATGTAAAATTACAATATTTATGTAAGAAGTTTGTTAATAACGAGTTAACAACACCGGAATTTTTAAATAGAATTGGTAATTGCATAAGAAAACGGAATGCAGAATAAATTATTATTGTAGACTAGATTTTTTAAATAGTATAACTTTTTTTTAAACTTATTTTTGTATTGACATCGACAATCATTTCTTGAGGAAAAGTACCTATTGTATATCAAATTATTATTATTATTGTATAGACAAACGTAATGTGAAAATGATAAAATGTTCAATTTTTATTTTGTAAGATTGCTGTAGGTATGAAATTATAAAAATCCCAGAAAAGAAGTCGTATGATTGTATGATAAGACTATCCCATTTTACATATCACCCGGGTTTCTCCTATATAATATTGACATTGTGTCGGTAATCGCAGAAAAAATAAGTAATAAAATATAAAAAAACATTTTAATGGACGATTTTGTATTTTGGGACTTTTTCTCCGACAGTAAAAATGCACACGGACTTTTTGTCCGGCAATCAAAAAATGAATCCGGACTTTTTGTCCAACTCTTTTCATACCGGACTTTTTGACCGTGTTTACCTTGTTGATCACAGTACATTACAAGTAGGTCACATAATTTATTTATTTATAATTTTTTATCAATACCTAGTTTCAATACCTATATATATTTTAATTGAAAGTTAATGATGTATTGAATTCAACTACACAAGGTGCTCTCATATTGGATTATTATGAAAAAAATAGTAAATTAAATGATGGTATTCGATCCACACTAGTAGACATACTTATTGGACGTGTACTGTCTGAAAAAAATACAAATGTCTGTTAGCTTGGCAGAATCTATTGCTAATCAAATTGTGGCAATGTTCAAATTGGAAGTAAAAATAATTATTTCAATTGATTATCTATAATTAATGTTATTTAGTTTGATGATAAATAATTTTTTTTTGCCCAAAAAAATATTATTAATGGTTAACAAAAAAATAGTAGAAAAAAATTTTAGTCACTATTGTCTATTAATACAAAAAACAACACAATTTATTCCTGTTAAAAGTGGAAGAAACTCCAGATTCTAAATTAAATTATACACCGTAATCTCGCCTATAAATGTAAAAGGTTATAAATCGTTGATAATATTCGATGTACAATTCGAGATAAAATTACATATAGCAGTCTTTTGCTTATATTCGTGATGTATCAGACAAGTTAGTCAAAAATTTAAGATGGTCTTGGTGTTTTCAGAAAGTAAAAGAGGAAAAAAAGGATTGCCCTCAAGAACTATAAGTATAATTTTGGTTCGCAAAATATTACAAGTGGCTCAATTCGTTGGCGCTGCATTAAACGTATTTGTTCGAAAAAATATATATACGACTGATGGAATGGTAACGATTGCATTAGAAAAGACCGAAGACGAAAGCAGCAGGTGTAAAAATTGTTATGGTTAGGTAGTACGCAGCTGCTTGTGAATGCTTCGGAATGTCGGTTTATCGAACAAAAGATCTCGAGGGGACAGACTAACAGCAGCTATCTTAGTAACATAAAATATATTATTACTATTATTATCATGCGTATAAAATATCACGTCTTTTTTCAGAGCACATACAATACATGATATTATTTTGCAATGGTGTTTTTTTATTGCGACGTCTGAATTCTCGTGTTGAAGAAGCGCTTTGTGTTATTTGTAATTGTTTTTTATCAATTACTCACGGAGGTAAAGCTGAAGTAAAGCACCACATTTCTACGACTTATCACAAAAAAAATTCGCCGTTGTATCGGCATCATTGCCCATATCCAAATTTTAAAATTGAGTATTTTTATACACTTCATCCTAAAATTTCTAAAACGTCCCGACAAGACCCTAGCCAAATGTGGCAACCCAAAACATGATGTATTGGTGTCTCCTTAAATAAAAAAAAAACGAACAGGTGGTACGAATACAAAAAGTCCCACCTTTCAAACCGAGCTGTAGATTAACAATAAAAGAGAGAGATATATACAGAGTGTAACATAAAAATATGACAAATTAAATAACTTGTGTTCTAATCAATATTTAAATTTTTTTTAATAATTAATAAACTCTTGTAATATAGGTATAATGTACACTTTTTATGCTATTACTTGAATGAAAAACGAAAAAAAATTGTTTAGAACATAAGTTATTTCATTTTTCATATCTTTCTGTTACACCCTGTATACTATATTTTAACACTGAAGGTTATACATTTTATACATCTAACCAACACCGTTGTGGTCACACTATTATTCTGCAGCCCCTATAGAATATAGCTGGTGTATATATATATATATTATAGTCGAACGATAAACCTGTTTCTTTGTTCGTGCGCAGCTGCAAAAGAACGAGGGGGTGAGACAAAATCTGCACCGAGACTATACCCACCATCTACTACAATTCAGTGTATCACTGTACGTTAATGCAAGCTATTCGAAGCATCAGAGCAACGAGAAATCATCACGATGAACATGAAGACTTATTTTGCAATTTTAGTCTGCGCAATGAGTATTGCCGTAATAAACGCTACAACAGATGACCAAATACCTCTGCAAAAAAAAGTAAGTTACGACATTACAATAGCCTACCTGAAGTTTTTTAAGAGGACGCTAAAACCGCATGTGTTGTATCTGTCTTATTAATGTACAACATGACAAAAACTGTTTCGAGCGAGATCGAACCACTTAGTCTATAGTCTTAGTGGAGACACCAAAAGTTCAGGAAATAAAGAAAACACCATTTTCTGTGCCGTACCGTTTTTATTTGTTTGATATAATTAATAAAAAAATAGATATAAAGCTTTTAAAAAACCTGATATTTTTACGTTTTTCAAACTTAAATAACTTTAGATATATTAGTTTTATCAAAAAAAATGAAAACACTGAGACACAGTTAAATGCTCCTCTAGTTATGGTGAAAATTCGGTTTATTAGTTATAATAGTAGTCTTCTCAGTTCTTTACCGCGCGAAATAGTTGTTGCTATGATTCACATTTGTAAGACGGAGACAACACATGCGGGTTATCTTCCTCTTAAGACCCTACCCATGCATTTGTTGTCTCCGTCTTACACACGTATGACATAGAACATTTTCGTTCACTAGTTTCAATAGTGTGATGTTAGTTTTGATATTAGAGTGAATTGACCTATTATCAAAGTTCTAGGTAAGAACATTATCTATGCTTAAGCGTCGGCGGATTTTTGGATGTTTTAATTTTCAAGCGAGATACTCACATTTTTGATTTGTGTTATTTCACATAGGTACTCGTTCTTGCTTGAAAATGAAAATATCAAAAATCGGCCTACGCTTAAGCATACATGATATTCTTACCTAAAAGTTTGCTAACACTTAAATTCACTTTTCAACACTACTAAAACTAGAAAATAGAAAACATAGAAAATTTGCTATGTCGTAAGTTGGTAAGACAGAAACAACAAACGCGTGGGTTAGCATCCTCTTAGTTATCATTATATTTGGTAGCTAGGTAGGTATTAATTTTAAATACTACACGAACGACGAACGTGTTATTTTTGATTAAAAAAAAAAAATTATCAATTATTTTAATCCCTAGCGATCATTACATTTTACGTTATGGTTATTGATTTATTAATATTTAATACTGAAGCATGGGTAATATTGATAAATAATTATTATTCTGATTTTTTATTTTAGTTGTTTGTGTCAATTTACTATAGTGCTCGCTCTACAGCTAGTATACATTTTATTTTGACAAAACTCAAGCCACTCTATTGCAGTATACAAAATTATGTTTTCTTGGACTTGGTGCCATTCGGTCATGCTTATGTAAGTATACTACCTATATGGCTATATAATCTATTAAGTACACATCAATATTAAATTATAAACTAATGCTTTAAATTGATTGGCCATTAAAATTATTTATTAGTTTTAATTTAAGTTGTGTAAGAATAATATCAGAAAAATGGTCAATAATTGTCTGAAGGTAAACTATACAAAATTGAATACACCAGATTGTAGATTTCCTATAAATTCCACTGCTTTTTGAGATCTCAACTGATTTCTTATGATTTTCAAAGATTGCTAACCTAACCTTCAAGATACCTTATAATTTATGTTAAAATACTGTATGACTTTTTATTTTACAAAAAATTATATAAGACAACGGAGTAAAAGCTTGTAACATATATAATTTAACCGTTTAATTCAATGCAGTATGTACTCACCTAACCATTAAAATATCTATAAATATTAAAATAATGTTTTTGTTCTAATGTTAGATACCAATATCCACTTATTTTGTGATACTATAGGTGAAACTTATGAAAAAGTATGAAATACTATTGAACATTTGTGTAATATAATGTAATGCAAATTAAATAATTAAATTGAAAAAAAAACAACTACACTTTAGTAAGAAATTTATTTTAAATTTAATTTAACATCAATCATATATTCATGTTTTTTAAAAAAGAAAATTGAACTAAAACTTGAACATATTTTTAAAAAGAAAACAATCTGGATCACAGTATACTTATACTATACAATTAAAATAAGTGTTAAAAACAATTTAGGTATACAACAAATATTGATATAATAAAATATATACCTAGCCAATTATAAATAATTAACTTTTTAATTATCCCATTTTATATTTGGAAAAATCTACATATTCAAATTAAAGTAAAAATGCACTTATCTCACTGTTTCCTGTAGGCTTTAGGTAATATTTTCTCAATACAATTTTTAGGTATAGTTTCAACTTCTGGATTTGAAAGGTAGTAAAATGTATTCCTTATGTTTCTTTTTACAAACAACACTTCAACATATCTACATTTAAACCCTCAACACATCCAACAAAACATTTAAAAGATTTTTTTCTATATATTCTACCAAAACAAAATTTCCAATTTGAACTGATTTGACTAAAATCTCACAAGTTATTGTAGAAGACTTCATTTCAGTAAAATTAACAACTTGCAACTTTTTTTGGAATTTGTTTTCATCTGAGTTTTTGTCAATTTTTAATTTTAATATTTTTTGATATTTTTGGTCAGATGTTGTAAATGGTAAACTTGGTGACAAATTTTTATATTCTGAATTTACATAATTTTTTTTTGTGATAAAATGCATAAGATGGTCATTACTAATTCTTTGTTTTTTGTTATCAAAGAACCAATATAAACTTGATTTTTTAACTGTTATTTTACTATCTTCATTTAAGGTTACTAGAACAAATTCTGAAGAAAAATCAATAGATTCATCAGCAGATTCTAATGAGCTATTGGGACTGGTCTTAATACTTGCAATTTAATTTAAAACTTTATAATTTTTGAAAAATCTTTTAAATTTAAATTTTCACCAAATTTACTGAATTTGCTATTTCACTCAAATCGTCCAAAATATCCTCCAAGGTTCAATGCTTAATGAATCCAATAATGAACTAAAGTGAACTAATCACATGTTACTCCGCAGGTTTCCAACTAACTGAAGGAACAAGAGAAAAATATTTTTTAATTTGAATTTTAATGAGATTCTATCAATGTTGAACAATAGGTCTAACATATAAATTATTATAAAACAAGTATTGGTTCATAAATCGATTCTAATATAGTGCAACCTAGCTTATAAGTGTACCTATACACAATTACTTTATCTTATAAGATATGAAGTATGAACCAAATTTTAAAAAAGTAAAAAAATAGGTAACCAATTATATTGATAGGAAGTATGATTTATTGTAGTTGGATAAAGAATAGATTAAATAAAAAATATTAATCATAATTACAATTGTAAATTTTAAGTTACAGTTCTTAAAATAATTATCATGAACCAAAAATTTGCTCCTAGTTACGTAAATATTGTTAAACAGAATTGTGTTTAACTACCTATAATTCACAAAATAATATTTACCTATAATATACAATATGTAACTTATATTTTGAACATTTAATATTTAAACTTTTCAAAACATTGCCTACGATTTCCAACGATTTGTACATCGATTTCCTATAGTGGTTTATCCCTATATAATTTTCATTTCAAACATGAAATGTTAATACTAGGTATTTATATTACTTTTTGTAAAATAATTGAATTTTTTTTTTAAATTGAAATTGCTTAAATTACTAAAATGTTTTTGTGTTTAGTATTTATTTACCTATTTACTTTTAAAGTATGTATTATTTAGATATTGATTTTTATAATTAATAGATTATTAGATTTTAAACAAATATAATAAACAATTTGAGTAGATACTAAATTTGTATTATATTTTTAACATTAAAACATAATTTGCAACCTATAATACTGTTCGTTAATTAATACATATTTTCTTTAACTTAGAGCACAAATTTTGGATTTTATTGTACAAACGGCCATATTGAGTGTCGTGCCAACACAATACATAATTGTGTGTTCGACCAATTTCCTCACAATTCTACAGCTCATTTGGAGTACTTGGGTTGTGCATTACATCATGCGGATAATACAATACATTTTGAAGAAAAAGTAAATATATTCTATTCAATTTTTCAATAGACTTAGTATTTATTAAAGTTACTATTTAGTATGTAGTAAATTACTGATAAGAAATATAATATTGCACAGTACCTACCTAATAAATAACTGGTAAAATAAAATAAATGTTGCTTACTGACTATTAACTGATTAGTTTTAACATATTATAATAAAATCCTAGAAGTAAAAATACTTAATAGGTAATAATAATTTTGTATTAAATTATATATAAAAAAAAATTATATAAAAACAATTTCATTAAAATTTGTATAGTGGTAACACTAAAAAATTGATTTGTGTATCTATATGGAATGCGTATGCCTAGATATGAAATTGCAAGGTGCATCTCTAGTTTCAGGAGATGTTATTTAATCTTAAGTACAATTAAAGTTTTTTTTTAAAACAAATTGAAAGATATCCTTCTTCAAATAGATAAATGTCAAATGATTGAACGAACAAATCTTAATCAATGTACTATGTCATTAAAGGTTTCAAAATTTTGAATGTTCAAGATATTGACATAATTTTGTACCCAAGATTTTATTGTTCAATAATTTGATTTATAAAATATTTCATTTGTTGCTATTTAAAGTTTTGAAGGCCTCACAAATGAAGTACCTATATGTACATTTGTGTTACCTATGTTCTTATAATTTGTAACAATTATAATACAATATTATCTTCTACACATTTAAAAGATTATGCAATTTATTTTTGTTATATTTACTACTGATTTGAATATTGGAATGGCTTTAAACATGTAAATGTAAGTTAAGTTTAATAATTTATTTACTAAAATAATTACTTACTTATATATCAAATCATAGAATAAACATTTGTATGAATTATAAATATTTCTGTTTGAGTTAGTTAGAAAAATCTAGGTTTTGTACATTTTAAGTAGGTTTTATCTTTTTTTAAAGTTGATTATTTTTTTCGGATCCTGTTTTTTAACATTATATTACAAGAATAAAGGTAAATTAGTTAATTATTCTAAGCATATTTTGATGTATACCTATTATAACATTTGTGATTTTTATTAAGCTAAGAACCCTTATTGTTAATGTTAACTATTTACTATTTAGAACATAAACTTTAACAATTAAAAGCTCTACTAGTAATTATTACATTATTAGATTCTGATTGTAGGTTAGTATTTGAATTTTTTATAAACTGGTATAATTTTCAAATTATTTTTGCTCGTATTGAGCTATTTAATACTATAGGTATCAACATTTAAAATATTATTAGTTTTTCTTTTATAAATACTAACTAATAAAAAAATTTTGATTAGTTAGTCAAAATGCTTTTAAATTTAATTTGAGATTCATAATAATTTGTTATTATGCCTATTTAAAAATATTAAATATACATAAGCTCGGTTTTCTTTTATTAGCATTTAAAGTCCAACATTTAATACAATTCGTCAAAATTACAAAAATGTGTAAAATGTTTTATTTCCATTTCAAAAACATTGAATACAAGGTCCCTTATGAGCAGTTTATACTAAACCCATATAATAATTGAACAAAATTGTTTTGTTTGATATTTTTTTTAATTTGATGTTTAAGCAAGCTTAGTTGTTTTATTGTAATATTCAAAAATATTATTTATGGGGACATGAAGCTTTTACTTAAATAAATATTGTATTTTATTTTATATACGCAATGACATTTAAAAAATATTTAGAATATTTTAAGTTATTGCCAGGGCTTAAAGCGTAAAATTATAGGTTATTTTTTTAACAACCGGTTACCATATTTTTTGTTCTAAGATATGCCGGTTACCTTACACTACAATAAAGTAATGGTTACCAGTTAATGATTTTTAACGGTTTACTAAATATTTAAATAACCGCTTCCCGATTTTAACCGGTTGCATACTGCTTTTCACATCTCATTTTTGTTATCAATTATGAATTTTTTGAATGAATTTATCTTATAAGAAAATCCATCATTCTGATTTCTGATCATATTCGGTTCTCTCTTGTCTTCTTAAGTATGTATAACTTAAATTGTTAAGAATTATTTTAGACTTTGGTCCCTCACATTACTTAGCAGTAAGCTCTTATATATATTCAAATAATTATAATTATAAAACCAGTCCTTCAATATAGGTATTTAAGATTTATGCACCACCATTATAAAAAGTTAAGACTTAGGAATATATTTCAGCTATTTAAAAATACAAATTCAGTTTTTAAAAAAAAATAATTAATTCATATTTCATAATTAAACAGAATTTAATATGTATCATTAATGTCAATTAAATATTCAAATGCTTTTAATAATATTATTTATATATTTTATAAACATTTTAAGTATATTATAGTAACATTCATTTTGTATTAGTTGTTACCAATCAACCAAATTCCAAAAGCTTTTTGTACAAACAGCTAAAATATATCGCAAATATGATCTTTATCATGTTTATTTCTAGTATAAAGCTTTTATAAAACTTTTTGAAATACTAGTTTTGCAGGGGTTCTAGTGCAGCCACCTGATGCATAGTGGAATATTCTATTAGGGGTGCTAAAGCCCCTTATTTTAGTCTTATGATCAATGATCATGGATTACACAATTAGTAACTTTACCTGCCTCACTCCTTAGTAAATGATCATATATTATTTAATAATGCCTTTAACAATATTACTAACAAAAAGTACAAATTAAGAATAAACGCCATTAATTAAGGTATGTAAATATTATTCAATTAATAATAAAATACAGATATACTGTACATCTATTAAGTATTTCAAAGAATGGCATTGAAAAAGCTCGAAAGTCTCAAAGGTTTTATTTTTTGTCAATGTATCTTTGTGCATATCCCAAACATTAATTCCCAAAAATGACCTTGAAATACCATCTACTTTCAAAGGTACCATCTTATGTTTTATAACCTCAGAAATGCCAGTAATTATTTTTAAAGCAGTAGCAGATACATGACTTCTTATATTTGATGGATTTATAGATATAGCTATAAAATATAAATTTAATACTAGAGTTAGGCATAGACTATATAGTTGTATCAATATTAATCAAAATAAAAGTAATTAAACAAATTATAAAATATGTAACATAATATTCCAAAGGCTTAGATAATTCATACCATTGTTTTGTTAAGCAATTAAACCACTTACAATGGGTTCAAAGGCTTCAAGTATTGGGTTAAAATTTTTTCAAAGCAGAATCTTGCATTAGGCACATTGGTCTTCCATTTACTGTTATTATTTCAACACAGTAGTTTCTCCTTGTCTATTTCAATTTTTATACTCTTTTTTTATCAGAAAAGAACTCATAAGGATTTGATTTGAATCAATAGCTCACTACATAAAAATAAAATTACTTTAATTAAGCTTTTAAGGGTATTATTCAAAAAACATACATTTATGAATATAGAATACTCTAACATATGATGGCAGTAAAACTATAAATGACACTTGAATAATGCTAAAACTTAGGAATATTAATAATAGCAATACATATTGTATGAAAATACTTAAGTAAGTAAACATTTCAACTAATAAAAATAAAGTACTTATAGTAATAATCAGTATGCATAATGCTTAAATAATAATTGGGTAGGTTGTAGGTGCCTAAGTCTCAAATATTTGTATTTGATATTGTATGTCTATACAATTATATTATAACTTCATAAGTTTAATATTAATAATAACTTATTAGAATATTTCTACTAAATAATTGATAATTAGAAAAAAAAATCTTTTTCTGGGGATAAATTAGGTAACCGGTATAATGTACTTAAAATGTATGGTTTTTAAGAGGACTATAACCTCATGTGTTGTCTCAGTCTTACAAGAGCGTAACTTATCAAATTTTAAGTTCAGCAGATCAGGTTTAACTCAGTTAGCTTAAAAATTAGAGGAATTGACCTCTTATTAAAATTAAAGGTAAGATTGTTACGGAGAGCTTCTCATGGGCTTTTTATTATATTTAAATTTTAAAGAGAGTTGAAAAATTGTAAATTGATTGTACAACTTAAAATACTCATAACTCTCTTTAAAAAATAAAATATAACAAAAAGCTCACGAGAAGCCCTCCATAATAATCTTACCTTTAATTTTAATAAGAGGTCAATTCACTTTAATTCTTAAGCTAACTGAGTTAAACCTGATCTGCTGATCGTAAAATTTGATATGTTACGCTCTTGTAAGTCGAAGACAACATATGCGGGTGTAGCGTCCTCTGAACAGTTTTAAGCCCAGGTTTTTGCCTACTTTATGGTATGTCAGTATTGACTCAAAAGTTTATGGCAATAATATATAGTATTTTAATAATACAATAAATGCAATGTTTTTGTCAAATATTAACTCAACCTTTATAATACCATTGATTATAAATACTAATAGTAAAATAAAATAAACGTTATAACTTGTCACATAACAGATTTATTAATATAGGCTGACCTTAGCTCACACCTGTTTTTTGTTTGTAATGATTTATTATTGAATCCATATTTAACTTATTATAAACAGTATACTGTATGACAAGGGAAACTTGTCATTTTCTGTTAGGCAGAATGAATGGTTATCTACTTTCTTCTATATTTAAACTAATTTTACACATGTTTCAGTGCGCTGGTTATGTTGGACTCAGCATAGATGAAGTTCATATGTGTGCTACTACCAGAAAGGGCTATTTGCTTATGTTGACGGCTGAAATAGATACTAAGGATAAAACTCATGGACCACGATTTGTACCTTCTTATGTTTTTGATGATGTAATTGATTTAATAACATTTCCTAAAAATATTTTATTAATAATTAATTTTTTTTCATAAGTTTTACAATGATCGTGATCAAAGACTTGCGCAAGAGGATTTTGAAGCAATACTTTGTCAGAAATTAATCGACCATGGGTTTACAAATGTTTGCAAAACCATTAATAGTGTTTTGAGAGTGAATAAAGTTTGTTAAAAAGAAACTCAAGAACTATGCAAGTAGCAAGTTCCAATAGGTACTAATGATAATATTAATAAAAAAAAAAATAATATGTTTTCATCGATTAATAATTTTATATTAAGATTAATTTTGAATACACATAACCACCATAAGTGTAACTTTCAATTCCACCAATAGTGATTAAGTGTAAAAATGTGTAAAAAATATTGACATTCTTTTCATAGTATGAATTAATAAGCTATTGTAATCTGTGGAGTGCCAAAACTGTACATTAAATTAAAGTATAATACATGTATGAATGTTATAGAAATTGTTTTAGTAGAAATCAGACTAGTTTTCTTTTGGTGGAATTGAGAAATGTATACTATTGGTGGAAACATTATTATTGTAAATGCATTTTTTAAATAAAATTCTTAAATATTTATACTCTTAATTCATTTTATTTATTTTTATATTAATTTAGCATTAAGTTTTGGTTTAAAATAATACAATAATATTAAGATATTTAAATAAATACACTTTTCGTCATATACATTGTCTTGCATTGGTTTTTAGCGACATTATATAGATCAACCATGTAAACAACCATAATATTACATCAATTGTAAACTATAATTATTAATCCATTACACAGTAAGTTGTATTTATAGATAGAACAGAAAATCAATAATACAAAATACCTATTTAATGATGATTTATTAATTTAAGATAAAATTGTAAATACACGATAAATATTTAAATTAAAAGTCAGACACTGTGGGTTAGTAAAGATGTGATTACTTGTATTAAAAAAAAAACAGAAATGAAAATTGACTAATAATGTAATAATAATACTATTAATATATGACGAGCAATAAGTGATAGCACTAATTAGTATCTTCTATTAAAAGTCATTATGTACTTGATGGTAATGATTGAGTTATGGAGAACATTTTCAACGATAATTGGAATAAATAGTGTGGCGTCACCATACAGTTTATTGAGACCCCGTAATTGAAATAATCTGATACAAAAATGGAAACAAACCAGTGTAGGCAAACTATAAAAAATATTTTATTGTATGTGGACTATTTAGCAATATTTATTGTATTTAAATTATACTATTCATTATACTAACTACTATTGGCCTTTATTTATAACTATCAATGTACTTTAAAATTGAACTACAATGATTAAAAATAATGTAATGATCAAATGTTTATATCATATTGTATCTATACCTATAAATTATCAATAATAATATTATTAAATAATTATTTATTTGGAAGTTATACATACACAATACACATGGAATAGATTATTTATATTTAAAAGTATAAACAATTAAGTGTCAACATTTGGAACTAATTTCACATCTGTATATCTATAATTGGTTTTTTGTGATCACAGATGTCTATATTATTATCTATACCATATAGAAATCTATGATTGTGATACTGTTGCATTGAGCGTTAGTGGTTATTTTTTGCTAGTCATTTTATGTCCACCTCATCAGATGTCGATGGTATATCAGCATAATATACTACATGTCTATATACCAGTATACTGCCATCCTTAGCCGAAAGGCAGTAAGAGGCAATGTGATAGTTTTGAGAAAAATGACTTTTTCTAAACTATCTTTTTATTTTTATCCCATTTTCAAAATTAAGAAATAAATTAATGATTCTTAAATAACTTTTGCTGTAGAATTCAAAACAACTCATTACAAAACTGTACTGTACCTTTAAGCACTTCAAACAGCATATACGTATTTTTTGCTTAGGAGTATCAGTAGATAGATACTATGATTACGGGTGTTAAAAACAGTATGAGCATATACATACTTTTTGCTTAAGAATACATGTGCAAAATTCTGCCTCATAACCATGCGAAAATATGCGAAGTTATTATTCAGGGACTAATAATATTAAGACAAGCATGGGATGCTTGTGCCCGGTTAATCAACATTAAAACAAAAAATGAATCTATAAAAAGTTATAGCGTAATGTCTGTGAAATTACCTAGTACCATATCCATGAAATATCATGTACATCTTAAAACATCTATTTTATGTTATCTTTCAACATTGGTATATTATACTTGTATAATATGTTTAGTACGCATCCATGAGATGTTAATTCAGAAACATTTATAAAATGTAAATGTGAGATTAAATAAATTCTCTAATTTAAATTTGTATTAAAATAAATATCTATAATATAGGTTCCTTTTTTCCCATCCTCTTTAACATGACAACGAATTTATGTTTACAATTTTAATTGTGTGTGGTTGATCACTGTTTTCTAGAGCCGACCGGAGTCCGCCGCTCTGGATACTCGTTTTGTTTCTCCTCTTGTCGGGCCGACCGGAGTCCGCCGCCCTTGAAATCTCGTTCTCCTTGGTAAGGGTTGGGTTCGAGCCGTTCTTCATCGTCCGCTGTGTCAGCGGTGCAGCTGCTCCTCTCTTTCGTCTGCCTCCTTGGTGGTCATAATCGTTTCGACCATTGTTATGAACTCACGTCTTGTGGTTTTCGCCTGGTCAGCAAACCTGGACCACCGCGCAGCCGGTTCTTCTGGCAATTCGTCGGGGCGGGGGCCGCAGAGGATGTCCTCGACATCGCCGGCTTGCGGGGGACGACGGAGTATCCTCACCATGGTGGCCCATCTCTTCCCACCTCGGGCATGCGAACAGAGTGTGTTCTGCAGTGTCGTCTGGGTCCATGCAGTATGAGCAGTAGCCGTCCTCTGCCCGATTGAACCTTGTCAGGTAACTCCTGAAGCAGCCGTGCCCGGTTAATGCCTGAGTCACGTGGTACGTTAGATCCATTGCTGGCTTGGATAGCCATCGCGATATGTCAGGCAGCAGTCGGTGGGTCCATCTGCGGCCGACGGCGTCGGGTGTGGCGGCTGACCGGTCCCATCATAATATAGGCTCCTAATTAATATAAATACAACTCAATTTTCAAAACCAATTATTAATAATTTTTTTATTATTTTAGAACTTTTAGGATTGTTCTAAAATCAAGAATTATTAAAATTATAATTATATTAAAATGTATAAATAATTAATATTTTCCTAACGTCTAAACATGTATACTTGGAATTATTAGCATTTATGGCCATGGTAACTTATAATTAGTAATCAATAGATGTTGATTTTGGTTTGATGTTAGAGGTAAGTCTTTACTAGTAAAAAAATCCCCTTTAATAATATTCAGGTTAACAGTAAACAAATTTAAACAGTTATTTGTAATATAAAAGACAAATTAAAATGTTCATCTTTTTTATTTGTTATTTTTAAAACGTGTGTGAAGTTGTGTGAACAAAGCTAGTTGAACAATATTTTCGGGAAGCTAGTGATAAGAAACCTTGCACGTTGGGTTGCATTTTTTAAATGTCAAGGGTGCCAAACTATTAGTTTATGTTCGATTGCATCGAAACTATAAAGTAGATGTCTCCCTATGTCACTTAATAATTATTTGTTTTAAAAGTATAGAAATAAATACTAAATTTTATTGGCGTCATTACCAAGGTAATTATACCGAAACCATAACTATACCGAATTATACAAATCAATAAATTTAAAGTTGGGTTATAAATCGCAACACTTTCTAACAAATGTACATAGTACATTATTACTTTTGCAGTAAGTTTACATTTACTAATTAAAAGTTTAATCTGTTTAACGATGTCATTTGTTGGAGATAACATTTTACGGAAACAGGTAAGTTTACTACCGAAGTAGTACTGTCTACCATACTGCAGTTTAAGAATTATGTAATTATATGTTATGTTAATTGTTTTTATTTAAATTAGTTATATCATGTTCCGTTTACCTATTCACATACTGATTCGTAGTGTCTATGCAAACGAAAAATAGGCACAACTACATTAGTGTTTCTACCTATAAAAATAATATTTTTTATTATTAATTTATTATATGTATGTGGTGACTATGCGATATTCATGTTTTAAAGGTGACGTAAACAGCTAAGGGCCTGGTCACACTATAGCGGTTCCGCCGCGCGGTCGAAACCGCGTTAGATTTTGCCGCGCGGTGTACACGAACTACACCAGCGCGGCAAAACCGCGGAAGTTTGTGTTCATTTATCATTTGGGAATTAGATACCATACACATCAGTTGTGTTAATTAAACATTATAAATTATAAAATTATAAATATTTATTCTTTAAAAACTACACTAAACATGGATTATGATCATTATATGCAAGTTATGAAAGTTGTACAAGTTGCCAACTATTTTGGCTACTTAAACCCTCCGAAAAGAGATAGACGGTACTGGATCCATCCATTTAATACAACACGAGAAGAAACTAGAAGATTTTTGAATTTCTATGAAAAAATTAGATTAAATTCTGATAAATTTTTTACATATTACCGATTGCTTCATTTGATGAACTTATGATGAAAATTCGACCTTACATCACCAAACAGGAAACGAAATTTCGAAGTCCGATATGTGCTGAGGAAAGACTTACTTTGACAATCAGGTAAAATTTGTTATTAGCAATTAATGATAAAAAATATATTTTTTTTTTTTTTATCAAACCAGGATAAATCTTTAATTTAAACCGAATCAATACATTTTCTTAGTATAATAGTTCAATTAAATAACAACTTATTGTATACATAACAAATATTAAAAAAAATATGATAGTACTTATTTCAAACAAACCCTTTAAAAAATAAAAAATAAAAAATAGTAATAATAACTTCAAATTAAATACGATCCCCTTCAGTATTTGAAGTTACAGGATTATTAAGTTCAGCTGGAAAAGTAGATGGGTATGAATAAGGTGGGAAGCTGGTTTGGAAATGTGGAAGAAATGCATTTGTAGGTTGATGAATTTGATGATTAGTCAAATGTTGTTGGTTAGAATAGTTGGTATAACTTGGAGCTGTAATAATTCGTTTGACTGCATTCATAAATTCAATTTTTAAATCCAACTTTTGGTGATCGTTCATTTTTTTTTAGATCTGGTAAAAAAGATAATAAAAAAGCTTTATCGGCATCGAATTCTTCGGGGGGTTTTAGGGGGGAATTTTTCATAAATTCAACCAGGGTATTTTGAAAGTCTACATTATTTTGATAATTCTTTTTTTTTCTGGTAGATACATCGGACGCCGGAACAGTCCCTTGTGATACAACATTTTCTCCATCAAAAATATCATTATTTGATTCGTCAAGGTAATATTTTCGGGATTATCCATATTGCCGGTTGTCCTGAATTTAATTTAAAAAAAAAAATTAGAATACTAAAAAACATACTAAAAATATTGCATATTTTTCTTTTATAAAATTAAAAAGGTTGGAAAGTGAAAAAAGTTTAATCGCTATAAAAGTTGAATATTTTATACATTTTTTTAGTTTTAAATATAAAATAATTTTTTAATTTTGAATTTGATAAAAAGGTTGCAAAATGCATTTTTAAATGCTTATAAAAAAAAAAATGTGATTATTTTTAATATTTTCAAATTTTCAAGCTTTTTACCCAATAAATATATTTTATTGATATTCATAGAAATAAACTAAAAAAATTGAAAACTGAAAATGTCCGTAAATATAGTTCAAAACAGATCAAAATATTTTGAAAATTTTATCGTGTATAGAAAATGCTAATATAAACAACCAGTGAAAATGTTAAGTATGTATAATTCAAATTTTACTCACTTTCGTTTTTTTACCACAGGTATCAGAAAAGATAGTACATCTCCGTATGCATATGTTTTTGTCGATTTAGCTTCAGATCCACTCTTTGTTTTTCTCGTCTCATTTACGGACCTTGTATAGTTATCTCTTATGTTCTTCCATTTTGATTTTAAATCTTCAACTGCAGTAAACGATGTTTATTTTAATTTAACATGTTATTAAAATGATAAAAAATAAATATAATATGCTTTATTTGTTTATTAAATATTCATATTTAAAATATACAAGATTAAAAGAGGACCTCAAACAAAAAATGCAAACAAATTTAATATTATTAATATAATTTTAGATTCTGAGCAGAGCTATTTGAATTTACAATGATGTGTTTTTTTTAAATGTTTTTTTTCTGTGTATAAAACTTGCAAAATATTTTGATTCATGTTGAGCTATTTAAAGGCATATAAAATTGAAAATAATTTAAAAAAATTTGTTAAGTCCACAATAATTTTTTATATGAGAGTAATTTTGACAAAATTCATAAAAATCACGAAAATGTGCGAATTATTTCGAATTAGAAATTCATAAAAATGGTCATATTTAAATCCTATATTTTAAAATTGAATAGAAGGTTCCTTATAAGTGTTTCTAAATTTATCAAAAATAAAAGTCAAATTAAATTTCTATATGAGTTTGAAGTTCAAATGTTTACGACACTTCTAAAGTATTTTATTATATACAAATAATATTAATTCGATTTAATGGTTACCGTATTAATATTAATAATTAATATAAATATAATATAATATATTCTTAATTTTTTTAATTTATTTCTATTATAAAACGATTACTGGATCACTTAAAATGTTATTATAGATATTTATCAATTGGTACAAATTTCGTTGCACTTCAGTATGAATTTCTGTTGGGAAGAAGTACTATTAACACAATAATACGAGAGACCTGTCAAGCTTTATGGACCATTTTGCAAGCAGAAGAAATGCCCGAACCTAATAATAATCAATGGTTAGATATAGCAAATAAGTTTTATATAAAAACTAATTTTCCAAATTTAGTCGGAGCTGTAGATGGAAAGCACATTCGCTGTATCAATCCAAAAAATAGTGGTACTATGTTTTTTAACTACAAAAAATATTTTTCTATTCTTCTAATGGCAGTTGTTGATTCAGAATATTGTTTTGTGTCTATCGATGTGGGGGCGTATGGTCGAGAAGGCGATTCTACCGTGTTTAAAGATTGTCCGTTTGGAAAAAAACTTTATTCTGACCAATTAAATCTTCCAGCCCCTGCTTGTTTACCCAATACAACAGATTCTCCGCAACCTTACGTTATCGTAGGAGATGAAGCTTTTGGTTTGCACAAGAATTTATTAAGGCCATATCCAGGACGTGGTCTTAACGCAACAAGAAGAGTGTTTAACTATAGACTGTCCCGCGCTCGAAGATTAGTGGAATGTGCTTTTGGTATTCTTGCAAATAAATGGAGAGTTCTACACAGTCCAATTTTAGTCGAACCAGACTACGCAGACGACATTATAAAAGCTTGTTGCATTCTTCACAACTTTGTACGAAGAAGAAATGGTTACAAATTTGAAGATACTCTTTCTAATGTCATGGAGGACTTTGAAAATGGCGGAGCTGCAGGAGCTCGTCCGCAAGGTACGCAAGTACGTGACTATTTTGCGGACTATTTTATGGGTGCCGGTTCAGTACCCTTTCAATCTAGGTTTTCTTACTAAACTTCAGAAGCTATTACAATATTAGTATAATTACATAAAATTACAAATTTACATAAATTTTTTTTTATATTGTATTCACGTATTGTAAAATAATGTATTTAATTATCTGTCATAAAGATACAAAATATTTTGGTTAATATTTACTTATCAAGAATAGATTATGGCTCCATTATCTACAATTCAGCCAAACCAAACATTAAACAAATCATCAATCCAATCCACAACCAAGCAATCAGACTAGCAATAGGTGCCTTTCGTACCAGCCCTATTAACAGCATTCTATGCATTTCAGGTGAACCCCCACTACAAATCAGAAGAGATAAAAATATACTAAAATATGTTACTAAAAAACTTAGTTTCCCCAACCAAACAATATATAAATTATTCAAGTCACCTACCCAAATCTACACGCTCAAAGAACCAGCTACAATTATGGAAACTTACACACGTATATGCAAGGNTGTCTTTAATAATTACTAATAAATTAAAAACATGTACTTACTTTTAATTCTTTTTTCATTCTCATCGTAGTTTTCCCATTCATCAAATAAATCACATCCAATGTCATCCCATGCCCGCAGTTTGGCATGCTTGTCTGCGTAATCTTTGCAACTTATTTTCCATAAGCACTCATGTTTCTCCACACTCACAATAAACATTTCTGTATCGAATACACTCATTTTTTTTTTTGAAATAAAAAAAATAAAAAAAATATAAAGTGCATCTACCGCGAGTCTTTACCGCTCAAGTGTGGCACGTACGATTGAAAACAATATGTTTTAATCACAAGCGGTTGAAAATATTGGAAGCGGCGTAACGGACAAACCGCGACATGTCGCGGTTTGGAGCGGCGACCAGCGGTGACCAGCGGCGTAATCGGGGTAGTGTGACGCGTTCCATAAATAAATATGGGTTTTAATTCAGCGGCGAAACCGCGCGGCGGAACCGCTATAGTGTGACCAGGCCCTAAGGGTCTCGCCACACTGCGGTATTTTCGCCGTTGAGTCCGAACGGTTTTACCGCCGCGGTTTTTACGTTCACGAAAAACATACATGTTTAAATTTAGCACGCCATACACAGCGGTTTTACCGTTCGTCGCCGCCACTCGCCGCTGCATGCAGCGGTTCGACGGCGGCACCGCTCAACCGTTCGTATCATAAACGCGTTGTTGTGAATGCAAAGAGCCATACTGCGTTTTTAATCCAACGGCGTTTTTAATTTTTATAATTATTCATACAATTTAAATTTACAATGATCGACGTTGAACTATTTATCGTCGAAATCGAGAAATATGAATGCTTGTGGAATGTGACAAGCAAATTATTTATGAATAGAGATGTAAAAAAAAAAGCATGGGAAGACATTAGTATGGTAATGTTTAAAGATTGGGAAAGTTCAACTCTCCAGGAGCGTGAAGCACAAAGTAAGTTTATTATTTCACATTTTCACTGCTATTTTTTATAATAATGTAATGTAATCAGTGGCGTATATTATAATAGACATTATTTTCGGAGTGGGCTACACAACTAGCAAGTGATCTAGCACCTAGGTCCTAGAGGCTAGTATATTATATTTAAAAGTTACTAAAAAGGAACTTTGCAAAAATCATCTTATGCACCTAGGTGGTGGTAATTATTTTATGATAAGTAAACCTAAAATATAAAATTATAGGTATAAGATAGGTATCTAGTTGCTTAAATTTTAACTCATACTTTTTCAAGAAAAGTGTAATATTGATACATTATATAATACATAACCATATAGGGTATAGACGATAAATCAATTGTATATTGCATATGCAATTATATTAGTATTTTCATAGAACTATAATAATTAAATATTATATTTATTATTTACCTTACAAAAACCAAAAATTCTATGTTATGATCAGACATCAGCATTCAGTATTTATATTATAAACAGTGTTCAGTACACACAGCGTTTAAACTTTTAAGTGCAGGGATTCATGAGGACTCAGTTAATCCTTACCTCTGATTGTGGTTAAAAAGTGCCCCCTTTATTAAGTTAGGATTTTATACCTTAGACATTAAACATACAATTACATATGGAACGCTTAAAACTATATATGTAGACATTAGTCCCCCCTGGAATTAGTGAATTANATGTACATAAGACTTTTTCAATATTTCTAATCTTTAATCTACCATTGTAAACCTTTTCAGGCTAATGACCTCTGATGTCGAAGCCTTATTCTTAAAAAAAAAAAAAAAAAAAAATTTTGGTATTAACACGTTGAGCTCCGCTAGTGTTTACGGCGCAGTGCCCTCGTCGCCGCGCCGAAAATACGTACGGTCGACTATGCGTCGACACCGGCGATACGCGACGGCGCGACACTATAATACGTACTTATCCTAGTATGTAACTAATTGAAAATAATAATTTATTTCATATATTATTAAATAAATAATTATACATAGAGTAACGGTTAAAATAATGTTATTCATAAAATACAAGTAATACAGTTTGTAATAATTTTTTATTTTTTTAACATTCGTCTTGAATGAAATATTAATATTTAAAATAACAATGTATACTTAAATCTTATAATATGATAAAAGTAAATAACATATAAATATAATACAGTATTACCTATACTGTACTGAAATCAAAATAATTATGAACAATTCTTCACTGTCGTTTATGATAGTTCAAAAAGCACGGTTCCAAACATAGTCCTGGTTGTCCGTCACATTGTGAACAAAAATAAGTTGTTTCTGTTCTAGTTCCTTCTTTAGCACACTCTCGACATCTTTTTCGAATAGGTCTGTTTTTTTTATTTTTCTCCACTTTTGTAGGTAAATGTTCGGGTCTGATTAATATTGGAACTTGCGGTGATGGAGTATTTGATTTAAATGAAAGTAAACTGTTTATTACAGATAAACGATAATCATAATAACTCATTTTTTTAATATTTTTTATATAAATCAAGTATGAATTCAGCATACATATTTGTATAAAATGGATGCCAATTTTTTTGTACCAACGTAATGTCTTACGTTCACACGGATAATATGCCATCATCTGATCTTGTCGATCAACACCGGACATAAATTTATTATATTGGACAATTTGGTTAGGTTTAAGTTTTACATTACCACGTCTATTAGTTGCTTCGATCAATTCGCCATTGTATTCAGAACTTATAGTCAAAACTTCACGTAGATCTTTCCACTTTGTTACACACACGCCATCTTTTGTGTACTTACTAATAGATTCTCCTTTATTAAGCTTTTTTTTTATTACGTCAGTAGGATTTTTTTTTCGATTGCTTCGAAGTGTTCCTGTGCAATATGTTTTTTTTTCCAATAGTTTATGCGCTAAATCGACACTATTATAGTAATTATCCATGTATAACGAATGGCCTTTGTAAAGATGGTTTTCCATTAGTTTATTTACTACATATTCTGTGTGTGATTGAGACAATGATACATCAGTACCTTGCCCTGAATAAATTAAAACTTTTTGAACAAGTCCTGTCGGTTCAGTAAGCATGTATAGTTTTACGCCATACTTATGGCGTTTGTTTTTATGTATTGTCGAAACACCAAGCGACCGCGCCAAAGAACCATTGATTCGTCAAGAGATAAGTTTTTTGACGGTTCATATATTTCATTCATTCTATTGTTGAAGTAATTTAGAATTTCTTCAACTTTATAAATACGACTACGATTTTTAGGATTATTTTCCGAATTATTACAAAAGTGCAGTGCTCTCATAATTAACATATATCTATTTCTACTCATATTATTTCTAAAACAACCAAAATTAAATAAACTACTGGTTTTCCAATAATCATCGACTCTTGACATTTTAATAGTTCCTGTGTGAAAGAGTAATCCAAAAAATATTTTTAATTCATTTTTATTCACGTCTACCCAAGCGTTTATTCGAGATTTATCACTCGATCTACTCAAAAATAAATCCGCTGCATAGTTATTGGTTTCTTTTACAACTAAATCATAAAAATCATCATTCAATAATAAATTTAAAAAATCTATTGGTTGATCGCCGTCGGGTCGTATTTTTAGTCCAGGAATTTCATTGAAATCAATGTGTTCTAAATTTGGAGACTCATCTAACCAAATAAAATTATTTTCACTATTACTACGTGCCTGGCTAGTTGCCCTGGCTCTACTGGTAGAAGGTATATTATTGCGCGGCGTCGGACTTATAACTACATTTTCATTTTCCTCGTCTGATAAGAGTGGACTTACTTGTTCTATAACAACGTCATTTACACCATCTTCGTCACCAGAATCTCCTTCACCCAAGTCTGTTTCAGAACTCAAATCAAAATCTTCATCGGACGATAGTGGCACATCAAATAAATCAGACACTTGTTCATCGGTTAGACATTTTTTTTTAGATGGTGGTGGATTTGTTGAAGTTTTTTGTAATCGCGAAGATCCAGGACGCGAATTCATTTTATAATTGTATTGATTGCAAAACTGTTCTAATAGATATACATTTGTAAGTTTATAAAATAAAAATAATAAAAATATAATGAAAAAAGATACTTACAACAATATAATAACCAATTAGTAAGATCACACGACAAAATATTCGAACAGTCGAAAAAACAAAATAAATTTAGTATTTTACGTAAATATAGAATCGTAATCAGGACAGGACGGACAGGTATAATATTATTTTACATTTCGTATATTTTACATTCGTGTATAAAATAAGAATAAAATATTTTACGTGACGTATATGCACGAATGGTTCGTTTACGACTAGAATAGCCACAGAAAAAATAAACAAATAATTATTTTATTTTATTTATAAATATTTCATTATTAAAAATAATTTTCATTGGGTAATAAAAATAGTTTTATATTTTTCGAATCACCCTGTATTCTGAAGGAACACGGTGTATACAGCGTAAAATAATTTGTATGAATATGTTAGTGTTGGGAATGTTATTTATACCATTTATTATGTCAAATTGCGACAGAATTATAATAAAACGGTATACAATTATTATCGGCGATAAACGTCGTCGTGATTTCGGGGAAAAATAAATATCCAAACTAAAAATAAACAAAATTAAAAACCAATGGTATCGTTAGATTCGTAAGAAGGAACCTGATCGCCTACAATAAATTTCAGACCGTTATCCCGTAGCCAGTAAAAAGTATAAGCCATTAAAGTGAACACTATATTTGTCGACGGGTAGTCGACAAAGGCGACCCGGGCAATATTGCCGATGTCGACTACCCGTCGACAATGGCATTGAACGTGTTAACTACCTACTGTTTAAATTTAATTCATTATAATTACGTTTTATTACCCTGGTAATGAATACTTGACTATTCAAAAATACAAGTAAGAATCC